TGTTGAGATAGAAGTAAAATACTGATGAGGTGGTGCTCTCCCTCTGCTGATATGCTACAGCTTTATTCTCTGGAGAATACATCATCTCATTCATCCTCACAATACCCTTGTAAGATATGATCTGCCCTGTTTTGCATCTGAAGAACCTTAAGAAAAATTATTTGACCAAAGTAGTAAGTAGTTTAAGTTACGAACTCCTAACCCCAAAGCCTGGGTTCTTTCTCCCCTACCCTGGCCACTTACTTCTAATTTTTGTTCTGCTCTGGATTGAGGTGGAATATCTTTGTTTTCTATGGATGTAGATTTCACAAATGTAGCATTTGTATGAGAAAATGTGTATCTGGATGTCTAAGCCTTTCCTATAAACTCTAAAGCATAGTTTAAATGTCTTGCAGACTCATCTATTGCTGAAACTGCTCACCTTTAACAACAAAATGAACTTCATAGCAAGATCTTATCCCCAAAATGGCTTATTCCTAGGAATAAGGCTTGTTGAGTAAGTAACTAGTGCTATTCCACTGAGAACCTTCCAATATTTTTTTCTTTGAAAGTGTTAGTTGTGTCCAACTCTTTGTGACCCCATGGACTATAGCCTACCAGGCTCCTCTGTCCATGGAATTCTCTTGATATTCCCTTCTCCAGGGGATCTTCCCCAACCCAAGGATCAAACCTGAGTCTCCTGCATTGCAGGCAGTTTCTTTACCATCTGAGCCACCAGGCAATAGCCATTAATTTTTAACAAATTGGGCAATGTAGTAAATATGGTTTTCTTTTTATGTATCCAAAGTGTCATCAGAGAAAAATGCCTTCCCCATTCCACAGCAATACTTATCATTCCATGAAGAGATGTACTAGGGTGTCTACCCCTCCCCTGCCACCCGCGAGCACGTTACATCAACTACCCAAACAGAGCTTTGCCAAAACTACAGAAAAGATTTTCTCTTTCTGAGATAGGTGCAAGCTGAAGGGATGCTGTGGCTTGAGGCTGCTAATTCCAATACTATTAGCAAACGTAGAATTAAAACTGGAAATGATACCCAGCAAGGCTGAGAGGTGGACAGAGTAAGCACTCCTATTTTAATCTCCAGAGCAAACTACATTTTCTTGAACCTTCCAGATTCAAGCCAAAATAATCTCCTGGTTCAGAAATTTAGGTATCTGTCTTTTACCACTTAAAAAGTACTAATGCAAAACTCTTCCTAAAATATTCTATTTCTCTGGACATAAACTGAGACTAGTGAATGTAGTCTATCACCTGTGTATGATAGATTTGGCACATATTGCAACCTGTTAGTCTCAATGATAAAAGGAGAGCATAAGTACCTTCTTTAGAAAAAAACTTTGTGAGGATTCAATGAAATAGAGCATGTACATTAAAAATGCCAGCCGCCACATATAGAATTCAACAATACCACATCATTCCCCCTTTCCTCCACTACCTTTCCAAAATATCAACAACTTGAGCATCAGATAGTTCTAAGTGTTTTTCATGCATCAACTCGTTTAACATATGCAAGTCCCACAAGCTAGAGACTATAATTAGCCCATCTTATAGAGGGGAAGGGCAGTATCCAGGGACACACACAGACATTGAGGGAGCTCTGGGACACAAATTGTCACATTAAGTGATTGAAGTCCTGGGGTTTTTGGATTTCATTGTTGTTTTATGAGGCTAACTCTCACTCCTCCTTATGTCACTAAACCTGTCTTCAGAAAACCTTTCCAAAGTTTAGCTGTTCTACTCATTTGTATATTAGGGAAGCAGCTCATCAATCATGCTGCATGGTTAGTGCTGAATACAGTAAGGGATGTGCCAAGTGCAGGCCTAAGAGGCACGATCTATTTGGAACAGATGTTTTCTCTTAATTCAGAGGTTTAGAAGCTCTTTTTGCTTATATTGTACTCAAAGTATAGTGTCAGTATATCATGTACACATCTATGCTCTATTTTTTCCCAATTATTCCCTAAAGGGAAGTCTATAAATAGCTGTGACGACAGTTGAAGTTTACTATTTGTCAGGTACCAGGCACCCTGCCAAACCTTAACCTAAGTATTTACTCCTCATAGCACGTCTGACTCTTTGTGGCCCCATGGACTATAGCCCACCAGGCTCCTCTGTCCATGGGATTCTCCAGGAAAGAATACTGGAGTGGGTTGCCACTTTCCACTCAAGGGCATCTTTCCGACCCAAGGATTAAATCTGTATCTCTTGCATCAGCAGGCGGATTCTTTGCCACTAGCACCACCTGGGAAGCCCAAGCAGTATTATAAGAGACCAGTGAGTGCAGGAACCCAAGGACACCTAGGGAGTGAACAAAGGGCAGGGGTGGCCTTGCTCCATGTCCACACTGAGGAAGCGGCAGGGTTCTCCTCTTCCTGGCACCTAATGCTGAGCAGGGCACCATCAGGAAGCATTCAGTTAAATGAATGAGTACATGCCATGCTCTTCACAAAAGTAAAAAAGCACTTTCAAGTGATATAAAAGGGGACTTTAATGTGAAAGGGGCACTTCTTGTGCAGAAGGAAAAAAAGCTTTAAGAGCAGATCCTTTCTTAACAATTTACGGTAACTTCTTTAATCCTAAAAGTCCACACTGTCACAGGAACACAAATTTCCCGTCCCCTTTTCACCAGGCCAACTTGCAGGCTCTACCCGAGTAACACCCAGCCCAGGACAGCAGAAGTGAGGTATGTCTGAAAATGAGGTGGAGAGGAGGAGCAGAACAACAGCGAGTCAGCTGTAAAGTGGGTTTATGATTCAGTTTAATCCTCCTTACCTTTGAATATTATGAGCAATATATGCCATTATGATAGCTATTACAGGTGAAATGATTAATTAAAACTAATTATCTGATAAGACTAAGCGTACTGTCTAACCTGATTTAAGGAAAATTCATCTACTTCAACTAAAAATACCAAAAAGGAAAATTAAAAAGGTGAATAAGGAAATAAAAACCCTTCAGGTCTTATTTCCACTATATATTTCCTAAGTGACCTAAGGAAAGTATCATTCAAAGAGAGTCACAGCATATTTTAAATTTTTATTAGTAACAGTTTGGAGTACAGATAAATTTAACTTGACATTTAGAAAAAAAAGTTATCCATTAAGGTTTGTTCATAAAGAATAACTTATTCTGTACATTTTAGTCTCCAATTTTAATGCTTAACTCCATAATGCTTCAAGTCTATAACTTAATTTTAGATTTAATTTTAACAATTCTGTGTTATTACATCTGGTTAAAAAGACTGGAAAACATCAAGTAGAAAAAAGAGACTAATTAAAATGATCTGAATTTAAAACTTTACTAAAGGACTTTTGAAAGAAAAAAGCCTTTAATACAAAAACAGCCTAAAAATGAGAATACTTTTGGCTGAAAAATTAGCAGCTATGAAAAAAATTATTATATAATATTTTATCAAGAACTGCATTACAAAAATATTGTGGTTTACATACATATATTAGAATGACTTACAACATAGTAAATGCTTATTTATATCAATCCAAAAATCTCTTTATAAAAAAATTTGATATAGTTTAGCACTTTTGAGAGATTCAACAGGAACACAATTTAGAAGATGTAGGTAGTACATCTTGTAATTAGAGACCTAACCAGTAAGTCTTGTCAGATAATTATGAAATTATATTCAATAATAAGCATTTATAAGAACTCAAGATAGTAACTCTAATCCCCTGATCAGTATGTATGCCTGGCATCAGAAATCCTACTATGAACAAATATGTAGCAAATTCTAGAAAACAACAGTTCATTTCAGAACAAGTGCCAATCACCACTTATTCTTGCCCTGATACACTGTTCCCACCACTCTTCATTTGCACTGAGTTTTCTCCTAGGCCACTGGTATATTTCTGCTTCTTAGAGACCACTCATGCCCAGCATAATCCAAGGTCCCTGACTCCTCTGGAGCTGAAGTGAGCTATGAAACAGCAAAAAAACTAACACTTTTCAACAGAACATCTTCCACCCTACTCAGCAAGGGAGGAGCTCCATCTGTAAAACACTTTTCACCAAGGCTGCTTTAAAACTAGTCCTCTTAAGTCCAATGGTATCATGTGATCATTGTCTCTTTGGTTTGACAGTAAGTTCAAATCTTAAAGTACATATTAAAATTTCCAAGTTATGTTACTCTGGAATCATAATTGAGTTGAAAATCCTGCTCTAGTGGGGTAAAATTTCTTCCATTCTGTGCATTTGGTATGACCTCTCACAACCAGTCACTGAGATACAGATAGCATTAGGAGTTCAAGGAGAGGAATTACCGATTACACTGCACTGGAACCTCTGGAAGCCAGGACAGGGAGGGCGCTGTTCATGCCAACAGAAAGACGTCTTCTGAATTCAGCCTAATGAGTTAGCACAGCTGTAGGTAAGTGATAAAATGAGACTCTGTCACTGCAAAATGAGTACCATTTAACTGTGGTTACTTCCAGAAGAATGGGAAATTCCCACGTTGTCACTGTTTCCACTTAAGAGTAGCTCAGTCTTGGCATATAAGAAAGGGACCCCCTTCACTCCTAGTCACAGTGGAGAGGTTCCTAGTAGCACCAGCTCCCTACAGCATCTCTCCATTTCCACACAACCATCAGCAGGAAAACTGTACTTAGCTCAGTGAGGATAGGACCAAAAATAACAGGGATAACACAGAAAATGAATGTGTATGCCAATGGAGTAAAACTCCTCATAGAGTTGATTCAAGAGGTAAAACCTATTTGCAAAAAGGAAGTGAGATACATCTTTATTTGCACAAAGAAAGTAAGATACATCTCTATTTCTGGTTTCATTCAAAAGAGCCTCCTTCCTTATTGGCAAACTAGCTACATGTGTGTAGCTACTAGTGGTATCAGCTACTTTTCACTGTATTTATATACTAAAAATTATCCATTAATGATGACTTTTTAATATTAGAAAGTCTAAATGTTCATAATAAATACTGTATTAAAATATCCTAATAATTACAATTGGAAAAAAACATTCTAGTCAGTCATCTCAGCACTACTTCTTCAATTTCATCTTCTACAGAATCAACTACTTTTACTGCTGGTTTACTGTTTGCATGTCTTAATCGGTGTCTACTTGGATTAAAACTTCTTCCTTCGCTGAGGAAAAAGTCATCATCATCACTATGTTCCCTACCCCAGCTGTTTTTATCCCCAGGGAGAAAATTTAGAGGGTCACAGTCTTCTTTAGTGACAGCCAGAGAATTTGGGTCACTGCTTTTAGAGGAAAGGCTGCTGCCACCACTGGCACCAAACAGCTGTTCCATCAGGGTGGCTTTTCTTTCTTGTCTGGTAATTGAATCTACACTGTCTTTACTAAATTTCTCTGTATTATTTCCTGAGAAACCCAAAAGGTCACTTTTTTGGCTAACTGGATTTGACCTCGCTGATGTTTTTGCAAATGAAGGCACATAGCTACCAAACACAAGCTCATCTGGAGAGGCTGGGCTTCGAGTATGGCCTGGATTCTGACCATCTCCTTTCGTTGTTGAAAGATTGAGGTCTTGCAAATGATGCCCGTTAAATAATCTCTCTGAGGATCCAGAGGACGTGTGTGTTCTGGGGTTTCTCTCTGGGGAATGCAGTTTTGGCTTCAAGTCAGGAAGCAATGGCAGAGAAGGATATTTTACATTCTGAGAGTCTTGTTCTCTGTTGATTTCATTCAGTTTAGCAAGTAGCATTTCTTTTAGCCTTTCTTCTTCCTCTTCTTCCAGTTTATCAATTTTCTGAACTTGGTACATTTCCACTTGGTATCTTCCAGTTTCCAACACTGGCTTTCCTTCTCTCTCCAACAAAGATGTCTTTTCCTTTGGCTTTTTAGCAAGTTCTTCTCTTTCCCACCCTGTATGAAATCAAATTTTTAAAATGGGATTTTATAGTAGTCAGTATTTTCAAATAAGAAAACAACTCTCATCTTAATTTACAAACCAGTTTTAGCTAATTTGTGTATGACCAGTTCACTATAAATTTCATTTTTATACTTGATATTCTGTGTTTAAAAAATATACTTAAAGACTTAAAGTCTTCATTCTTTTTCTTTCCTTCAAAACTTCATTCAGATGTTTGTGACTCTTGATAAGAATCCCCCTACCACTATATCTCAAACTTCTCTTGTTCCGTATAACAAGTTCACTGTTCAGCTGGAAGATATTAGGGGATATTAACCCATTCTTTCCCAAGAGACGTTGACTCATCATTTGCTTAAACCCTTACCATTATCCAGCTTCTCAACATCCTGTTTCACAACATGGAGTCCTTGATCTTTAGCAAATTTGTCTTCTCTTTCCACAGTTGGGTTTAGAATCCCAGCTTCTCCAAGATTATCTCTCTCTTGAGATTCCAGATCCTATTATGTGTTTTTAAAAAAAAAATGCAAGTTCACATGCCAGAAAAGGGGGAAAAGTAAATATTATAAATTTATCTCCCATTAAGCCTATTCCAACTAAGTTAGAAATTAAAGCAAATTTTCCATTTCTAAGGCAGCAAGCCACAAGTTACTGCCTTTGGAAGATTTTCACAAGAACACAAAATTCTTACTTTAGTTAAAATTTTTAAAGAGGCATTTGGAAGGCATATCAGAACCAATATCCTACATAAAATTCTAAAGTACCCTTACTTCATACATTTCACAACAAAATCTGATGAATTCAGTTAACAAGAAGAGGCTATTTATTCAACAACTATTAAAGGCCCAAGTGATGCACTCAATCTTTAAAGTTTATACTATGCCCAAGGCCTCCAGTTAGTAAATCTCATAACATTTAAAATCAATTAAAAATGTAAACTTAAAATGTATTGTTTCTTATGGTCCCTTTCACATGTGTGTGTGATTTTTCTTAATAAAAGTAGAATATATAATTAGTGGGCATGCAGAAGAAAGAATTGTCCCCTAGTTTCCATTTCCTCCCTCTTCCTTTTAGTTACAGAATCCCTTGAGTTTCAGCAGAGCATAGGGCTCCCTAACTGGAGGTCTCATTTGCTAGCCTTCCTCTGAAGCTAGACAGGACCAGTGGAACGTGAGTGGAAGTATGTATGCAACTTCTGACCACATTTATTTAAACAAAAACTGCTTGCCCTCCACTTCCTTATTCCTCCTCCCAGGTGTCATAAGCCAATTCCAACCACACAGATGAGGTTACACTCTTTATGACTGAAAAACAGGCCAAGAATGGCTACCATGGAACAAAGTTTTCTACCTATCCTAGACTATCCCCTGACCTTCAGTTTACTACCAGAGAAAGCGTCTTGAATCTTGCTTGAGCCACTGTATTCTGGGTCTCTTTCCAATAGTAACAGCTCCCATCTGCTGGGACCCCTTAAAGTTACAGGATAAGCTTCCTGATTAGCTACTACCACAGACCTGAAGGGTAACCCTCCTTGTTTTATAGATTAGGAAACTGATGTTCCAAGAAGTCATACAAGTCACTAAAATGTTAGGATCATAATTTAAATAAAAAGCAGCACTAACTCCAAGGCCACATCCTCTCTTTCACCATACCAGATCGCTGCTGCTTGTGCTGACTCTTAAAAAGAGCAATTTTTGATGGGGAATACATGTAAAAAAAAAAAAAAAAAAAGATACACTATGGTTGTGATAAAAATAAATAAATAAATTAATTAAAAAAAAAAAAAACAAAAGTTGAAGGCAAAAAATAAATAAATAAATAAAAACACTCATAATAACTTGAAAAAAAAAAAAAGAGCAATTTTTTTTTTTTTTTACCTTTCTAAAATTAAGAATACTTTGGTATTCTACAGTTTACCTTTAAAAAAAAATTAATAAGATCTAGTCTCAATGATGGGCTTTCCAGGTGGCGTGCTAGTTGTAAAGAACCCAACTGCCAATGTAGGAGACATAAGAGACATGAGTTTGATCCCTGGGTTGGGAAGATCCCCTGGAGAAGGGCACGGCAACCCACTCCAGCATTCCTGCCTGGAGAATCCCATGGACAGAGGAGCCTGGTGGGCTACAGTCCATGGGGTCGCTAAGTTGGACACGCTGACTTAGCATGCACACACAGTTTCAATGATATTCCAATGTAGGCAGAAACACAGAGATACAATAACTTTTTTAAACTGTAAAACAAAATGAAATAAAGGAAAAAACTGGAGTACACACAGGAACTAATTTAGTCCATCCTTTCTGTTTTACACCACAGGAAGAGACCTCAACTGTAAACACCAAAGACAAAACCCTGTTAGAGAAAAGGACCTTTCAGTACTCAATGAATCCTTTTTAATGAGGATCCAACACAGAGCTCCTCAATGCTACTCTAATTTGAATGATATAAAGTCAGATTCTACTGCAATTACTTTGTTCAACATTCATCTAACCTATAAAAGTCTCTTATGCAGGAGGCCAAAAAGATATAGTCAAATTCTGACAAATCATTTGAAAGCTACTATAGTTTGTTATTAAACACAAAAGCAAGAAGGATTTTTAGAGATTATCTGTTAAGAGGCATAAAAGGTAAGACACTTAAAAACTTTTCTTCTTTCTCCAGCCCAGAAAGTACAACCTTTCTGAAGCCCCTGAAAGATGGTGTTAACTGACAGTCAATCCAAAGGAGTTTAATAAAATGCACAGATGTTATCTTTTTCCTTATAAAAGGCTAGTTGCATATTTATACAGCTACAGCACTCGCTTCATTGTTGATATTTTTAAATGTTTGATATTGTGTATTTAGGAATACTTCACACCTAGAGTTTAGTACCTAATCATATTGCTAAACTCACCAAAGAAAGACGTTCGGGTTCTTCCCTTTTGTTTTCATAACACATAACTGTCTGTGGTGTTATAGGATATTCCTCCAGCTTGAAGTCTTCACTGGTTTGTACTCCTTTTGTACACTGGTTTGTAAAATCACTCTGGCATGCAGCTACCATGAAAATTATAAAAGAATTTTTCTAATTGTACAGTGCTAAGATATATGGAATTCAACTGGTATATGTTCATGCTCTACATGAGATAACTCATGTTTCTCAGCTCCATGACTACTCACTATTACTACTTTTTAATTTCTAGGATTTGAAGGCAATTCTGAGAAATAAATCCTATTTCTAAAAATAAATCCTATTTTTAGAAAGTTTATGTTTTTAACTTTTTGGGATTCAGAAAAGAAGGAAATCTACACTTTTGTTTTTTTAAAAAAGTATGAATGTGCATAAAAACACCAAAGTATTTATGAGTGAAATGAACAACAGCTGGGATTTCCTCTAAGGTAGGAAAAAAGTAGACAAACTAGATGAAATAAAATTAGTAAAATGTATAACAGTTAAAAGGTAGGTAATCCATAAATAAAGATTCATTATACTATAATCTCCCATTTAGGGTATGCTTATATTTTTTCATAAAAGATTAAAAAATAACTTGCAATAAAAAAAATTTTAATCATGTAAAAAATAATTTCAGTGACCTCAAGGGAAAAAACTGAGAAAGTGAAAGATTTCTGAAAAGTACCTATAAGGGAATTTAAATTTATTTCAATAAAGTTCTTTCCCCTCATCTTCCTTCTACCTAAAAATTAATTTATTATTTTATTAATAATAAAAACTGCAATATGTCTTTCAACAATAATAACTACTATACCATTTTTTCTTGATGTAAATTCTTTTTCTTTCTTTGGAGAAGTCTTTGGCAGACGATTAGAATATATGTTTTTTATGTCCAGTTCTCTCTCCTTTTCCTAAAAACAAACCCAATATAATTAAGAATGTATAGAGTTTCAGTTTAAAATAAAAATCCTCATCTTGTCCACTGGTATTTTCCCCATCAAATTGGAATACACCTAAGTCCAGCTTCCCTTTGTAACTACCAACTATAGAAAGGAATGCTTTTAGGGCATTTAGGTTAGGGTAGACCAATGATTCTCCATTAAAACTCCAATACACACTAGCAGTCAAGAAAATCAGAATAAGGCAGAAGTCTTTCTCTACCCACTCCTATTGTTTTCAACTGACTTACAGGCCTAGCCTCAGAGACAGAGAATTTAATTAGCATCTCTCAAATTTGGGTTCCAAATTAATGATGAGTTAAAAATTAGACCATTTTTTTAAACACAAGTGTTCTTCACCATTTTGCAGCTAAGACTTTCTCTCTGAAAATTTGATTAACAAAATGAAAATTCTATGAAAGATAATGCATAAACACTTTAAGTTGCACAACATGTCAACCCATCAGTGACTTCTGGATAGAATTAAGAACATCTACTTCAACAAAATTAAATAATTTGAATGTTTCCTCTAAAGACTATGAAAAAAAGGGCATTATTTGAAACAACTTTAAAAATAATCAATCATGGGGTTATATGAGGAAGAACATTAGATTATTCAACCAATGCAACACAGACAGACTCTAGACCCATAATTTTTCTTCCAGGATTCTATAACTTTTTTCAGTTGTAGCATTCCTATCTACATTAGTGAATCTAACGTCTCATTTTTAGTTACAGTGATTATATTAATAAATATTTTCTTTATAAGTGTCAAAAATATGAGAATTTTATAAATGATATTGTATCAAAATTCCAAATATAAATAACAGTGTTAAAATATTGAGTCTTCATCTAATATATATCATAGGGAGAAATGATGTAATTTAAAATAAAATTCTTACCTTTAATTTGTCATATAGTCCTTGTAGTTCTTTTTGAAGAAGTTTATTTTCATCATGAGCCTCACATGTCCTTTTCCTTTCAGCAAGCAACTGTCGTTGGAAACTGTTACTACTTAGCTCAAGGTTTCTTGATAATTCCTATGACATGTATATAAATACATAGAAAAAAAGTACTTAAAAAATAATTCAACAGTAAAATACTGCACATAGTGTCAAAATGACATTTTTTGTGGTACCTAACAAGACACACAAATTAGACTGTGCTTAGTGTTCACAAATATAGAATGAAATGGAACATAGATTTATCAACAATTTAGTAAGATATTTAGCCTATTATTTCACTTTCATTGTTTTTCACAATGATCTATAAATAAATGCTGCATGAAGAGTACATGGATAATCATTTAATTTGGAAGCAAAAGATAGCTAAAGGATGTGATGAGAAACACTGGCTTTGGGAACCACTGTTTAGCAAATAGAAACTGAGACTGCTGTGTAAAATTACACAGCACTATTCAAGATGCAGAGAGCATCATCCCAGTTTTTATTTATTTCAGCTCAAAAGACATACAAGATAAAAGTGAAAGGATGGAATATGTATTTTAAGCAAACAGAAACCAGAAGAAGGTGGCATAGTTTTACTTGTATTAGATAAACTCCAAGCCAAAAACGGTAACAAAAAATCAAAGGTCAATGATAAAGTAGTCAATACATAAGAAGACATAACAATCGTAACGTATACTCTCAACACCCTAACACTGAAACATATTAATTAAATACTGGTAGATCTTAAGGGAGAAACCAGCAACAATACTGTAACAGTAGGCAACTTCAATACCACCTATCAGCCATGGAAAGACTGTCCAAACAGGAAATCAACAAGGAAATGCTGGAACCACACTTTAGAACAAATGAAATAACAGATATATACAGAACACTACATCCAACAGCAGCAGAATACTTATTCTCCTCGAGTACACATGAAACAGTCTCCAAGACTGATTATACTGATCACAAAACAAATCTTAGCAAATTTAAGAAGAATGAAATCATATCAACTATCTTTTCTGATCACTTACGCCTGTGTGCTTGTGCTAAGTCACTTTACTCGTGTCTGACCCTCTTTGCGACCCTATGGACTGTAGCCCTCCAGGCTCCTTTGTCCATGGGATTCTGCAGGCAAGAATACTGGAGTGGGTTGCCAGGACTTCCTCAGGGGATCTTCCCGACCCAGGGGCTGAACCCTTGTCTCTTATGTCTTCTGCACTGACAGGTAGGTTCTTTACCTCTAGTGCAATTAATCAACAAGAAGAAAGTGAAAAGATTTATAAATGTGGAAATAAAAGAACACACTTCTTAAAAACCACTAGGTCAAAAAAGAAATCAAAAGGGAAATTTTTAAAATTATCTTAAAACCAACAAAAATGGAAATATTAAATACAACATACCAAATCTTGTGGGATGCAGTGAAAATTCAAAGTTTAGAGCATCAATGCATATATTTAGAAATTAGAAAGACCTCAAATAAGCAACCTAACTTTACTCTGAGGAGCTAAAGAATAAGACCAAAATTAGCAAAAGGAAGGAAATAATAAAGATCAAAGTGGAAGTAATTGAAATAGAGACCAGGAAAACAACAGAAAGGATCAATGAAACTAAGAGCTGGTTCTTTGAAAAGATAAAACTGACAAACCTTTACCTTGGACTAAGGAAAAAAGAATTGGACATGAAAGAGGAGCAATTATAGCCAATACTACAGAAATGCTCTGAATCATAAGTGACTAGTATGAACAATTATGTGCTAAAAATTTACATAACCTAGAAAAAATGAAACACACAACCTACCAAGAATGAATCAGGAAGAAACATAAGATGTGAATAGGCTAATAATGAGTAAAGAGACTGAATCAGTAATCAAATTCCCAACATGGAAGAAAGGAGATCAAGATGGTGGAGTTAAGGGGACATGGAGCTCACCTACGCCAATGAACACATCAAAAATACATCTACAGATGGAATAATTCTCACTGAAAACTAACTAGAAACAAAAAAGGACTGTGCAACCAAGGCTGTGAGGAATGAATGAAAAGTGATTGGGTAGGGACTTGTGCTTCTGGGCGAGCACTCCGGAAATGAGAAATTGCATGGGGAGTAAGTGTGTTGAGCCACAGACTGGGGTCCCAGTCCCAGGGTCTTAGTGGAGGAGAGAAGCACCCTGGACTGCTTGGACAGATGGGAAGGCTGGGGAACCCTGGACTCCACTAAAGAGCAGTACATGAACACTGGCCTGCCTCTGAGGCAGGGTGGAGAAAGGTCCACTCTAGCAGCTACCTGGTTTCCCACAACCACGTCCCTCCAGGCCCCAGCTCAAGCCAGTGAACAGTCAAGCCCTGCTCACTCCGAGCCACTATGCAGTAATGAATCTGGGGTAGCCAGGATCAGGGAAAAGACTCAACCTTGGGACACAGAGGCGGAAGGGTCCAGGTGGGTCTTCAGCAGCCATTTTTGGCACTTTTTAAAGCGGTGCCCAGAAACAGGACGTATTTCTGGGAGCAGCCACTGTACCACACCTCAATATCCCCTGCCACACAAACACAGAGAAACCACACAGGCTCCTCCTCCCCTGTGGAGCGAAGTGGAGACTGGGGACAGTGATCAGCTGTGAGGGGTCCTGCCGTGCCTCTGAGGAGAGGTCTGGCTGGTTTCTGGGTTTCCTGAAACTACTTCACTGTGTGCCCAGCCAAAGCCAAGCAAATGCTCCATCCCTCCTCAGTCCCTGCTACAGCGTGGCACTGGGTGTGGGATGGCCACGACCAGGGAGAAGACTCTACCGTGGGTTGCATCTAAAGGAGCCACAGACACCTGTCTGAGCAGCGCGCTGAACCTCTGTCTGTGAACAGGCCCCACCAGCTTCAGCACTCCTGCTCGGGGGCAAAGGCCCTGGTGCCGGGAGAGAGAAACACACATGCTGAAAGGGAACGGAGGCAGCTTGAGCCTGACAGGAAAGCTTCTGCTCTGGCAACTTGGGATCACACCCCATCCTGATAAGGAGGTGACAGCCACTGCACAGAGAGAAGTCCCAGCTCATTCCAGGAAATTATGGCTGAAAACTTCCCAAACCTGAAGGAGGAAACAGATATTCAGATAAAGCACAGAGGGTTCCAAACAAGATGAACCCAAACAGAGCTACACCAAGACGTACAATAAAACAGTAAAAGTTAAAGAGACAATTATAAAGGCAGCAAGAGAAGAGTCATATGCAAAGGAGAAAGGAGTCCCCATAAGGCTATCAGCTGATTTCTCTGCAGAAACTCTGCAGGCTAGAAGTGAGTGACATGATATAGTTAAAGGGAAAAACCTGTAACCTATGATATTCTGCTCTGAAAGATATTTATCATTTAGAATAGAAGTGATAAACAACTTGTCAGATAACCAAAAGTTAAAAAACTCAACATATGAAAACTACCCTAAGGAAATGTTGAAGGGTCTTGTGTAAATTGAAATGAAGTAAGAAAATCCCTGTAGGAAAGGCAGTATGTAGATTAAAAGATGAAAAATGAAAAAAAAAAAAAAGAAAAATGTAGAAAAGCAACTATAACAAACAGTTAAGGAATAAGCAGGAAGATGTAAAATGTGATATCAAATACACAAAACATGGGTTATGCAGCTTAAAAAGATAGATCTTTCAGAATGTGTTTGAACATTTAAGTTCAAACATTTAAGATTACCCAAGTTTAAAACAAGTAGATATAATTATGAGTCAACATATATGAACCCCATGGTAGCCACAACCAGAAAACAAGCAATAAAATGGCAGTAAGTACATGCCTGTTAATAATTACTTTAAATGTCAATGGACTAAATGCTCTGGTCAAAAGACATAGGTGGCTGACTGGATTTAAAAACAAAAACCAAGACCCTTAAATATGCTGTCTGTATGAGACTCACTTCAGGACTGAAGACACACACAAGTGTGTAAGAATATGGAAAAAGATGTTTCATGCAAATAAAAATGACAAAGTGTGGGTAGGAATACTCACACAAAACCACATCACCCTTTAAAATAAAAACTATAATGAAGGCAAGGAAGGCCTTGTATAATGATAAAAGGATCAATTTAATAAGAGGGTGTTACACTTGTTAATGTATACACACCCAATACAGGAGCACCTAAACATATAAAGCAAATACTAACAAACATAAAGAGCGAAACTGATAATAATACAACAATAGTATGAGATGTTAGCATCCACTGACATCAATGGGCAGATAATCAAGACTGAAAACCAAAAAGGCACAGGGGCCTTAAATGACACAACAGACCAATTAATCTTAATTGATACCTAGATGAAGCTACATGCAAAAAAAAGCAGAATACACATTCATATCATATGCACATGGAATGTCTTCCAGTATAGGTCACATACCAAAATCACAAAACAAGCCTCAACAAATTTAAGACACAAATTATTTCAAGCATCTTTTCCAACCACAACAGTATGAAACTAGAAATCAACTACAGAAAGAAAAGTAGCTAAAGAACATATAGAGATTAAATAACATATTAATACTAATAAAAAAAACCCAATGAGTCAATGATAAAATCAAATAGGAAATCAGAAATACCTAGAGACAAATGAAAATACAACTTTCCAAAACACACCAAAAAGGAACCCTTAGAGGAAAGTTCATAGTGATATGGGCCTTCCTCAAGAGCAAGAAAAATCTCAAACAACCTAACCTACCACCTTAAAGAATAAGAGAAAGAACAAAGGCCAAAGTCAGCAAAAGTAAGGAAATAATACAAATCAGAGAGGAAATAAAGATTTATAAGAAACAGTAGAAAAGATCAAATGAAAACAAGGGCTTTTTTTTTTAAAAAGATAAAATTGATAAACCTTTAACTGGGATCACCAAGAAGAAAAGAAAGAGGACTCAAGTAAATAAGCAATGAAAAATGATAAATAACAACCAACACAACAGAGATACAAAAAATTGTAAGAAAACACTATGAATAGTTATATGTCAACAAACTGGACAATCTGGTAGAAATGGACAAATTTCTAGAAGCACTCAGTCTGCCAAGTCTGAGTCAAGCAGAAATAGGTGATTTAAATAGACCAATCACTAGAAGCAAA